AACCCAAACCACCGCATTCAGGCTGCATCTCCAGGATACTGAAAGTCCACAACTCTGTCTGCCTAACTGGGTGTGAGGAAAAATGGATCAATAGGGTCAATAAAACCTTCTGCTTTTGAATCTCTATCTGAGATAGCTTTTAAAGATGTTTTGGAAACAGAACAAAACAACAGAAGATAAATGGAGAAGGGTATTTGATTGTTCCAAAGCGATGCAGACAGAGGGAGGAGAGCAGCTTCATTTATGGAGCAAGAAAATGACCTAACTGCTGTTGCCTCTGTAATGGCAGCTCGTGTAAGAATGAGACAGAGTTACCTTCATCATGATTCTGGTGCAATAAGACCTCTGGCTGAGCATGGATGGAGTTCCCAGGGTGGAAGAAAGGTGTGAAGAGCATCCGAGCTTTCCTTTGCTTCAGGATGTGCTGCAGGAGTTCATACAAAACATCACCTGAAAGACAAACAGCAGGAGAAAGGAAATGAAAATGTACATAAGTGATGAGAAGACTCATTTAGCCATCTGATGCACGAATTCATGGCTCCTGGGTGCTATTTTCAGACTCAAAAACRCTAGCAGGAAAATCCTGCCTTTCACTGCTATGCAAGGCTCTCCTCTGAAAGGAAAAAAAGGCACATCACACCTCTGAGTGTGACTGTGGCAAAACAGAATGACATTCCCTGGCACCATAACTGCTACATCTTTCCTCAGTGGAACATCACACYGCAATATCCAGGAGATGAGGGAACTCAATTCTTATTTTGCACCTTTTAAAAATTACATTTTGTATGGATGTCCCTGTTCCAACATCTACACAAACACACAGCTACTTGTGTCCTTGGTCTGGTGTRACTGGCTGCACATTTCAGAGTGGAATTGTACATCACAGGGTAGGAAGTCTCTTGGCTTTTCATTCTGCCTCCTCTCTTCTGTTTGTCTGATATTACACAGGAACAGGCTGCAGCAGTTACAGATTATCTGAGAATGAAGGTAGTGAAGTTTCACTCAGGAAAGCTTCAATTTTTTGGCAGAGTTTTCTCAAACGTGGCGTTTTTTAGTAGTTGTTTCTATGAGACAGTAAGYTGTGCACCATTTGTGCCTTGTCTCTGTAAACTGCCAATATTCTGTTTGTGTGCAACATGAGTTTCTCAGTGTGGAACAGGTAAAGCCATTCTGCTTTCCACAGTTCAGCTTCCTTTATTTTTTCAACACCTTGGCTGCTTTTACTGTCTCAGCAGTGACTTTAGGGCATTTTTAAAAGGTGATTGCACTACCTGAAAACCTAATTAAAAACAAAGCCTTGAGCATTCAGTTACACGAAAGTCTACAAAGTGATTTTACCACAAAATTTCCATCATTGAATGCAACAGTGGCATCATCATAAATAACGAGTGCTGTAACACTCCCAGCAATAAGGCARCAAATTGTCCCTCTTTTGATTGGCCTGACAGACCTGTGAAAACAACCATAAAGCTGTGGGTTTTTGCCTAATAAACAGCTGAGACTTCTGCACCACCCAGATGCAGCAATGTTAAGATGGTGAAAAGCATTTTTCACTCCCTCCCTCCTCTGGGCAGCCCTGAACAGARCAGCTGTGGGGCTGTGGGAGTGGATGCCCTTCTCCTGCTTTACCCACCAGGGGAAATGATACAGTTTTTGTGTGGCTTCAGTCTGGAAAATCTTAGTGCCTCTGTGGCAAACATTATTTCACAGTTCTTAAATTTCACGTACAGTTAATTCTGGGAAATGCTGAGGTAATGTCCCTTTACCTACAGTTATCTCAGTTTKTAGGGACTGACTCAGATACCCTCCACGAGGTTTATGATCAGTGGGGAATACCTGGAGAGAAGGAAGAGACAAAATGCAAGGGAGGAGGCCTTTAGCTGGGTTATTTCACTCCAAGTTCAGCTTAACCTTCTGAATAAACAGAGATTTTGCAAGTCAGAAGCTCTTCTCTGGGAACACTCTATTTCCAGCCTGCAAACATTTTTAATCCTGCTTATTTCAAGTGCCTTCACAGCACACAAGGGGAAGAACGGGAGCATAACTTGCAGGCAACAAGGGGAGCTGCAGACAACACACACTGAGGTGCCCCTTGCAGTCCTTGCCCACATCCCTGCTTTCAATACTCCTTTTGCTTCAAGCGAGGCTAATTTGGAAAGAAATCACTCCAAATGGTATCCCAGAATTAAAAAAAAAAAAAAAGACATTTCTAGGCATCAGTTGTCACTAATGTGAGACAGTGACAACAGGCATTAATATTTGGTCTCTTCTTCCATACAAAAGTAGTTCTGGATTTGAAGCACATGCTTAAGAATGTATATACACTAAACATAAGCAACAGTTTGTGAGGCAGATTCTGCAGGAGGATGGTTGTGGAGCGTGGACAGGCAGGTTGGTGCAGAATGAGACCCACAGCTTGRTTATCAGCAGGATCCCAGCAGCAGCAGCTGTATCCTGCACCTCGTGAGCCTTGCACTGGAAGCCTCCTCACAGCAATTCTGTCACCACCAGGTCCAAGCTCTTTGATCACCTACAGCGATTGAAGTGCAAACCTTTCCATTTAACAGGAGTGCCTCGTATGGTCACGCAGAAAAAGCTCCCAGCTCATATTTACTTAAACACCCCTGACAGGAGGGCAGAGGCTCACTCTGACTGCAAAACTGGAGCAGACAGACCACGGGGGATCCAAACACAGGCAGGCAACACACACATCTCTGCATCTCCTTTGTGAATAAATGAAGACATAATGTGAGCAAAAGGCAGCTGATTCACACACCTGTCTGTGCTGTGCACGTGTGAGAATATGGGAAAGTAAAGCTCAACCCACAGGGGCTGTTAAACTCAGGCACAGTCCCCAAGGAAGGAGTTTTGCAGGCACTTTTAGCAGCACCTCAGCCAAGACAACTGTGAGGCAAAATGCTAATATGGGCTGCTTAAAGAGCTGGAGCACTTGATTAAGCTGGATCTGTGAAAAGATCTTTACAGGGAAGAGCTGGAAGACACAAAATGCTGCCAGAGCAGCTTGTTTTCTGGGAGTTCTGCAGGGAGTTTTATCTATAAACAGGYTGGATATTTGGGTTTGGATTGGCATTCAAATACACCTACAACTCAGGTGTATCCAGATTTCCTTTCCTCTTTGTCCTTGCCTCATGCAAGTGTCTCTTCCTGCCCTCCCTTCCCCCCCACTTTCCSAGTGCACCCCAGCAAAGGTGACAGTTTCCTCCTCTGATCTTCTTCATCTTTTTTTTTCCCCCCTCTCCTTTCAATCACAAGTCCTGTAAAGAATCCTCACCTGAATGAGGGGACCTGTATCGAAAGTCCTCTTTGGTCAGGAGCAGCAGAGCCTTGCCGTTCATCTCAAAGGTGTTGCTCTCAATGGGCCTCAAGGAAAACTCCTTCTCTGCCCACCGGAGCCACTGTGCCACATCCTCCCTGCTCCAGTAAAYGGGCTGCAAACCTGTGCCAGAAAGAGATCAGGGTTCTGTTACCACACTGACACGGGCCCAGGGATACAGCAAACATCACTGAATTCCCCCCTCTCCCCACAGAATCACGGAGAAAGTCTCKGGGGAAAGTGTACAACGGGAATATYGTGGTGGTGCAGGATTACTCCAAGTGCTGGACTGAAAATACTTTGTTATTTKAGGCACTTTGGTTTATCTGTGACATATTGAGAAACAAGAACTGCCCCAGCATCCCAAGGAAAGCTCACAGAACATGATTTCATTCCAGGTTTCCACTGTGCAAAAGGGTTTTCGTGCCCGTGCTCCTTGTGATGTGCTGAGGAGGCAGCAGGCACAGTCCTGGGCACACCATCCACCCTGGGTGTTATCCCTCCATGGCAGAGGTGTGCTCCCCTTCCCCCCTGCACACTGATGGAACAAGATTTGTGAACAACTGGCAAATGCAAGAGAGTCACAGTAGGACACAGCTCATGAGCAGCTCAGTCAGCAGCACTCACACAGGCAGAGCCCTTGGCCAGGGGCCATTCCCACCCGGGACAGGAAAGCCAGGGCCACACTGTGCCACCTCTGGCACTGCTTTAGCCACTGTTTCCTGTACAGCAATCAAATATTCCCCATGCARCTATGGCCAGCTAAGAGGGTAGAGTGTTTTTTAGTAAAGTAGCAGGGATATTTGGTTTGGGCACAGATCTCCCAGGRTGCCAAGGAGAATGTGGCACTCCCGTTCTGCCAGCCAGCTCGTACAGCATATACTGCCTGTATATGAACACTGTTGTGTTCACTCACCGAGGCCCCACCACRTTACCATCAGACATTTTGCCTGCTACCTTGATTGGGCCCAGGCAGAGAAGCTTGGGAGGTATGACAATTCAATATCTATTCTACCCACAAATTTAAAATAGCTTCCTTCCCCTGGAGAGAAGGCAGTGCAGTGAAGAGCTGTTTATACCCAAGTAGAGAGATTATCTCCAATCCACTGGGCGATAAAAGCTTTATTTTCCTTTCCCCCTCGTGAGATGAGTCATTGTTTGACTTGCTACAAAGCTTTACCCACTGTGCACAGGAACATGAAATTGGCTGTATCTGATCAGATCTCTGGTACACAGCCTCTGGCRGGAGCCAGTACCTTCTGCTTCAGAGGAAGACGAACCTCCCTTCCTTGTATTGCACCTGGCTGATTGTGTGCTGCACATGGGAAGAAATTTCCTTCCTGGCACACCATTCTCTGAGATCTGATTACCCTCCTCCTACCAAGCACTAAAAGAAGCCTAGGAGAGTTGTACCACTCTTGTTTTGGTTTGGTTTTTACTTCTTTAACAGATAGGCAGCCCTTTTATTTCTGTTTTAGCAAGAGGTAACACGAAGTGAACTGCATTTTGCTGCTCTGCCAGATTCCCAGACAACGGCTTTGGAAAGTCCCAGAGCCACAGCTGCATACAGAACTGAATCTCTGTCAGAAGAGGAATTGAGATTGTGCCTGAGAAAGGGTCAGAGCTGACCTAAGGAAGGGATATCTGCATGGCAGTAGCAAGAATTTCCATGGAAAAAGAATTTCCAGTAAAAAGCTGGAAATTTTTTAACTGTAGCATACTATTGTATAACAGAAACAGGTAGTAGCCTTTATTTATTTATGAAGTAAATTCTCTTCCCCGTGTGAATTAGGGTCTGCTTATTGGGGTCAGAGTTTTCTGTAGGACCTTCCTTTCTGAAGGGACTGTGGTGAGGTGTAGATTTGCTCAGAGACATGGAAACTGCCATCTAAGATGCCAGAGTGAGCTTCATCTTCTGCTGAAAAAATGTTCCCAAAAAAATACATTCCAGACCCCAGGCTGCTGCTGTAGCTGGGAGAGAGCATTAAGGCATGATGCAGACAGAACACAACACCTGAAAAGGGTTTTAAAGGACCATCTGACGAGTGCTCAAAACACTCATGGGTGGTTTCTTCTGCCTCCCTCTTTGCCACGCCATGCAAGTGATAAACTGCCCAAAGAAGAACTGTCATGTAGAAATCTAACTGGACTTCTAATGTGCACTACACAAGGTGAGATATGAAACAAAAGAAAATATCCCTGTGAAGATCAGGCAGACAAGGACAGAGTTACACGATAACTTCACGTGAGGTCTGCAGTGCAGATAACAATGTAATCAATAAATCACTGCCTGTACAAACACCCCACGTGCAGCTGACAGGACCTTTGTGCCTTCTGTTCATGAGAAAAGCCCCACAGTAATATGACCTAGSACCACTTGCCTTGGAATTACTGAGAATCAGCAAGCAGCCACTCTAATTCAGTTTATTWGAGTGGGTGGATGTGCCACATCGCTCCACCCCAGGGTGATCCCATCATTAAATACTTACATTGTGTTGGGAAGACATAAGGTGCCATAAAATAAGTAAACTGCTTTTCCCTAGTTGGATGTCTTATTCTCTCAGTTCCCTCCCTTCCTGCCCTGCTGCTTTCCTGGGAAGTTAGTTCCTCAAAAAAAATATGCCCCCACCACATGCCCGTTTGTTTAGTGAGGCTGAACCAGTTCAGTCACAGGAGGCCTTTCTAGTGGGGCACAGCAGTGTTGCTGAAAGTGCTTCAGAAACTGTCATTCAAAAAACACTTCTTTCATGTGCTGTACAGCATCTGCTAAACTTGAATGCCACCTTCTTTGACCCTCCTTAAGAAGAAGTTGGTTTTGTGAAAACAAGGTCATGTGAGATGGTAGGCTTTGCAGCTGAAGGGATTTTACAGCACAGTGTACATTGCTATCAGTAGGTCCTGAAAATGCTTTCCTGCACTGTCCATGAAAAAAACCTAATCCTGCTTATACTATTTTTCTTCTTTGCATGCTGTTTCTCATTTTCCCCTCTCCATCTTCTTTCATTGTCATGCCCATGGTGGAGGAAAATGGGCTCTTTTTATCTCTCTGGTTTTATTCTCTGCAAAAGCTACCAGCACTGTCTTCAACTAACAGAGATATTTACCAAACAGAATAAAGTGAGGGAAACSAGAGCTGTGTTGCAAAACAAGGACAGAGTTTTGCCTGCTGCAATCAGTGTGAAGGTTTTGCTGCTTTCACTAGCTGCAGATCAGGGGAGAACCTGCCTTTCTCCCATCCTGCCCTCTTGGTGGCCATGGACTTCCCCAGGGTGAATTTTGACCTGGCGCTGCTCCCATCTCTGCCTTTGCTCCTCTGGTTGAAATCTGGCAAGCATTTCCACCGTGGTCTCCCTAAACAACAACTTCAACAAAAACTTCTYGAACTCAATAGCTGAAAGCACAAAGCCGTGCAAACCACCAAAATCTGGCTCTGTGAGATCCAGCAAGTTCCCTGTCTTCTGTTGGTTTCCAAGCACCACCTCCAGCAGAGTAAAATACAATGATTTATTGACATTTTTATAAACTGACAGCTTCATATGCATTGAACAGGAAGCAAAATCCCCGCTCACCTTTCTAACACTGCAGGCTGATGCCCTGGTGTCCTCATAGATAATCTGCTTCTGCCRCACATTCCTCACCTGCAGTCCTGTTTCTAACACCTGTAACTCTGCCTTAGAAATCAGGAGAATGATCAATTCTCAAGCTGCAAGGCAGGAGCTGGTAACCATCCAAGTGCAGAAGAAATCCCCTCCTTGTACCTTTCTATTCTCAAACAGCAAAGCCAAGCACAATGGAGAGGGGCTGATGCAATAATTCATAGTCTGAAGTAGCCAGTGAACCTGTTACACACCAACAGACCCGGGCACAAACAGGAATGTTTCCTGTTGAAGTCTTTAGGATGATGGTCTCTGAAAAGTTCACTCCTTCTGACAGAGCCCTTCAGGAAACTGAGGCTTGCTCAGCCTTTGAGGTCAGAACAGAGTGCTCTGCTCAGTACTGTGACCTTTGCAATCAGAGCTATACAGCCTGCAGCATCCTCACCTGACCACAGACTTGTGGGGTTACAACTTTGCTTTTTGGATGTACCAACCCTGAATATTACAAAGAGCTTGTATGCAGCAACTCCTTCTCTRGTCTGGAAGACAGGGTATATAAAACTCATTTTACAGTACGAGTTGCCATTTCAGTGTATGTAACAGACACACCTACAGGGTGAAGTACAACGTGCCGCAGGCTGTTTTCACCCTGACTCATTCTGGAACAATCTGAGGACACAAATCCAATGCAAAATGTGATGCAGAGAGAGCGACTGTTCTGCTTCGGTTTCGAGATGAGGACACAGCCACGGGACAGCACGCACRATGGAAACAGCGCTCACTGTAAGTTTCGCCTGACTTTTTGTTCCACTTGAGCTACGCTCTCCATCCTCACGCCTGGCTGCCTGGCAGGCAGGATGATGATGTGAGAAGGGGGTAAAGACAGACCTCTCATTTATCCCAGCTTTCTGCAAGGCAGACAGAATTGTTCACACTCCCACGCCAAAAACCACTTAGCATGGTTGGGCAGACAGCAAAGGGGCCAGGGCATGCAAATCAGCAGCTGCTTCCCAAACAGCCAGGGACAGATGCATCACCACTGAGCATCAGGAGGCCAGCTCATGGCTGCAGCTACTCTGAGCCTGCAGTGGGAAAATGAGSCTGGAGAAGTTCAGAACACTTGAACATCTCCTACCAAGCAACTCCTTAGGAACTGATGCTCTGTTTGTCGTTGATTAACGAATTTTTCCATAAAGCATACTATGTGTCTGCACGTGATGGGAGAGGTGCATGAGGCTGTGTTTTGGACCTAATTTCTGTAAAAAGGCAACACAGTCTGGAAGAAAACATATGATTAGATTTAAATCCTTCTCTCAGGCTCTGCCAGAGCAACTTTTAAGAAGTCCCTTCCTATCTCACATCTTTGGAAGGCAGTGGCCATTCACTGCTGTTGGGTTGCAGGGACTGCCTCATCCTACGGCTGGCGCTGCACTTTCCAGACCCAGAGATAATCAAAGGTAGAAAGTGAAGAAAAGGTTAATCCTGGCTAATCCTCAGAGAGAATTATCTGGGGGGTGAGTATCAACT